CTACTGAATTTCAGGCCCAGACAGTTTCCTTTCCCTCCACAGATCTTGATCAGCTCCTGTAACGTATCCCGGCTATCTGCTAACAGCACAATGTCGCCTGCGTAGAACTTTTCTGGTATAACTTGGTTTACTTTTCCCCCTCTCTTTATCTAGGACACATCCAAACCCTCTTCTTATTTCTGCCGGTTCTGTTATTTCTAGTGTCCATGTTATAACAACCTTACTATTTGTGTATACCTCAAGTAAAAGCCTAAATAAATGTGCATCTCAGTCACACACTCTCAGCTGTACCCAGAGTATTTCCTTACTCACATTGCTGTACGCCCCCCTAATGTCTAGAAATGTTATCCTAAACGGGTTTTTACTCATCCGTGCCACCTCTATATAGTGAGTGATGATGAATAAGTTACCATCTTATCTATCTTTTCGAAACCCGCCCTGTAGCTCACTTAACATATTTTCGGCCCATTCTTCCAGACTTTCTTTTTTACTACCTATATCGTGTCTGTACTGGACCAACGTTCCTGTTATCGGTATGATGTTATGCTATCTTTATTTTTCTTGCCTTTATATGGCAATCTCATTCTGCTTAGTATCCAATCATTGGGTACCTCTCCCCCATTATTATTTGATCAATTACCTGTCTTAAATTTAATTTGCTTTTTGTTCCTAGTTTCTTGACTAGTCTTATTCCTATGCCATCTGGGCCTGTCGCCGTTCCAGCAGGTATACTTTACTTTCTTCTCTGTCACATTCCCCCGTGGTCGTATCAGTTGTCTCGCCCTTCTGTTGCTGGTTTTTCCCCTGTACATTCATATGCTCCCAAAATCGTTTTGCAGTACTCCTATCGTTTTGATTTACTTTCATCATCCACTGCACTTCAGCTCCACAAAGTTTGGCCTGAATTAGAGCAGATGCCTGTCTTTTTCTTTCCTGAAATGTCTTCCATTTCGATGCTACACACTAAACTTTGTAACACCCATAATCGTGTAAAAAGGGTGTAAGAAGGGTGCACGTTAGGAAAAACACCCTTTTTACACGCTTTTTACACGATTTTTGAATATCGGTGGGTGTAAAAAGGGTGTGCTGACGTTTTACACCCTTTACACGCCCTCTTTACGCCCCACTTGCAGCGACGGTGTCTGAAATCGTGTAAAAAGGGTGTATGGGCGAATTTTACGCCCTTCATCCACACGGTGTGAAAGGGGCGTAATGGTGATCCAGTCGAATACAGCCATGATTTCATAGCCGTTCATATTTATTGCTTTGGTGAAACTGTTGTTGATGTACGGCGGTACAAACATCGAGTATAATTAATCGCCACACGGAGTCGCATATGATTAGGAAGCGCTAGAGAATAGTTTTGGCAACTCCTATTGAACTCTTCGTCCGACACAAGCCTAAAATTACGTTTCGCGCGTGCATCAGTTGTATCGGTTCAACCTTGATTTAACAAAAAAATCATCTCCGCTCGCAAAAAAAAAAAAATGAACGAAGACGTGTAAATATACAACCTAGGCAGCACACAATATTGCGCTGTTATGGAATTAAATCGGAAAGATTGTGCCAATATTATTTTGGTCCAGCCAATATCTGTGAAAAATGGGATGGGTTGCGCCGACGATATATCCTGACATACCGTACGTGGCGCCGTTTTTGGTTGACTGTCAAGAGTGTCCTGCGTGAATCGGCTATGCCGGCGAGGTATTTCTATTCCTTGACTGCCTAAAATCCGACGGTACAAAACAAAACAAAGCAAGATTAAGCGAAATAGAATCCGCGTACTTTTAACCTGAGAAAGGTCTTTTAAACTGAAGACTTGAACAAACTGCGGCGCCCTCATTTCGGATATTACAAACTCACCTGACTGGGTTTCGCACTACTTATAGCACCTTCACTGAGACTTTATTTTGGAGTGTAGCTCTGAAGAAACCATGCCGCCAAACAATCGAAAGTGCCGGATTAATGACACCCCCAGGGACGCGATTCTTATCTCTGCGTAATGACACCAAAATATCTAGCTTCCCGGCGCTTTTTTTTTTTCCGGTTTTCCTTTGGTACACGTGAAACCGCGTCTTCGACAACGTTCAAAATTGTTTTTCGTATTTATTTTGTGATCTCGCGGTCCGCATTAGAGCACGCGAGTCTACATGAGTGGCAGTTTGAGACGCTCAAGGTTGTACTACGCAAAGCAAGTCCTGACGAGTCCGATTTCGCGACCTTCCCTGGGCAGGGCCGGTGGCAATACAAAGCAGCAGAGTGAGATTAGCGGCTTTGTCCAACCCCCTTTGACCTCGTCTTCTGATAAGCCTCCAAACCTTCTTTTGTGTCTTCGTGTTGCTGTGAACGAGTGCGAAGGGCGCTTCTAGCAAATCAGAGGGGTGGCGCGAAACACGTGACCGCTCTCCGTAGGACAAGGACGTTTGGACGAAAATTTGTCATGTGACTCGCTCTGACGCGCTGACGGGCTACTGGGGCCGTAGTCTTTGCAGTATGCCAAGTTATGTCGAGTTGTAGGGGCCACGTAGGTCCGGTTTACAAAAGGGGGGCGCCCGTCAGTATATTCCTGTTTTTCGTGCGTTTGAGTCGCGGCCGTGATTTTTCGTCGTGAACGACCGGAATACATCCATGCCAACTTTTCGGAAATGGTCGTTTATTTCGTCGGAGTCCATGGAATTATTGTGCTGTATTTGTGTGGCGCGTTTCGACAAACAGCAGCTCATCGGCGGCCGCGAGACTTCCGTTGAATGTGATCGACCGCCTTCAACCTCGGCATTGTGTTTGCGTAGTTTTGTGCTGCCCGAATCGGATTACGCATCTATCACGACAGAGAGGTGCTCATCGGCGACCGCGAAATTTCCGCTGACTGTGAGCGACCGCCTTCATCCTCGACATTGTGCTTGTGGATAGTTCTGTGCTGCCCGAATCGGATTATGCATCTATCACGGATTACTTGAGATCGCTGTTTGATTTGTAAGTACTCTGCAATCATGCTTTAATAGTAGTCCAAGGGGCTATGTTCGACAAATGTTTCGTTTCTCCTACAAAGAAACGGAAGTGACGGAAGCGACGATATCGCGTTTGATTGGTTAGAAGGTCAAATGGCGAAAATAGTTAACTTTCGTCATTTGAACCTCTAACCAATCAAACGCAATATCGTCACTTCCGTCACTTCCGTCACTTCCGTTTATTTTTAGGAGTAACGAAACATTTGTCGAACGTAGCCTCCCTGCTTCCCTTTCAATAGACCATTTTACGGTTTACAAACATGAACTGCCGCTTACGTCCCAAGCAACTCCCGGTCGTACCGTCTTTGCAAGCCTGCCAGTTTTGTCCACGTCACCAGTGCAAGATGGCATAAACGTCACAAGAAAAGTGCAGTTGGAGATTCAAATAGGGCCTTCGGTTGTACAATTTGAAGGGGTTATGAAGCAATATCCGGTTAAAATATTCATGACCTTACACGCACGGACCGCCACTGGTTTAGAAGCGTCTTGGTCGTCGTGGAATTGCGAGGATAAAAGAGAACTATTTCTTTAAGTCTCGCCTTCGCCAAGTTTGATGACGTGCGCGTAAAAGAAGCTTTGCCCTTTGGCACGCTTGTAATTGCACGCACTTGCCCGCATAAGCAAGACATGGCTGCGGCCGGATGACCTGCTCGCAATCGTCTGTAGAGAATTTTGTAGAACCTGTTAGAACCTTGATTAAAAAATAAAAAAAGTGAACCAGGCATTTGCAGTCATTTTTTGTGCACTCTTTTGGGTTTTTACGCCTACTTTATCGGTGTTGGTAATCACGCCTTTTTTTATTTCCCTTTCTGGCGGTGACACACACAATTTAGAGGACGTACTGCGCAGACATAACGCCCTAATAAAAACGTGTACAGTGGAATCACACCCTAATTGAAAGGTGTTCGGAATAACGCCGTCCCTTAAGGGTGTTAGGGAAACACACCCTATTTTAGGGGCGTTAGGAATAACGCCCTTTGTTTAGGACGTTTTGCTACACCCAAATGGGTGTTAGTTATAGGACAAGCCATTTACACCCACAAGGGTGTTACGATGTTTAGTGTGTACCTGAGCTCCGTCGAGGTCACCTGAGTGGCTACGGTAGACCAACGAGAAGTGTGTGGCAAAAAGTTGGGCAATATATCGGGGAGCCGTTACTCGGCGATCACCAGATAGGAGGCACGGTTTGTAAGCGGTGGACCGCTGTCCACTGATGAATGCCCAAAATAGCTTAGGATCGTCCATGATCATTTCGGCAATGGCGCGTGGAAAGTTGTTGAATGCAGCGTGAATGGCGGATTTCAGATGCCTTTGGAGCCGCTTAGCTACTTGGAATAGGACAAGACAGGGCAGTGCAGGCGGGCAGCTTTCTTAAACGAAGTTCGCTTCCTAGGGGCCATCTTCGGTAAGTCAGTAGTCATCCTTGGAGACCGTTTTCGTTGAGCGGAGTTTCAACGCGTTGTTTCAGTGCAATGTTTCAGCGCGATGTTTCAGCGATTTCAGCTATCGTGGTATCGCTGTGTGACAGTCGCGCTCCTTATAGTCCTTGAAGAAACGCAGGATGTGGAGAGTTTTGAGCGCCCCATTATGGCTCCGCAGCCAATGATATCGCGAGATTAGCCGATAACAGCGCACAAGAACCAATCACGGAGCAAGACGCGTGAACATAATAGGCCGCACTCTGCGCTTTTTTTCCTGGGAGTGACTATAATTCGTGGATGATAGACTCCACAATAAAGATGCTCAGTTACAACTTCAATTTGTGGAAAGATAACGTAAGCCTCTAAAAATGGTATAGTTTGATGAAAGTAGAGTTACTTACGCGTCACATAGTAGTGTTGAACGTCGATCATCCAGGCGACCGCCATTTTAATAGGTCGTGGAAGTTGCGAACATATACTGCACCACAAAGCAGTCGGAACACCAATAATTGATCTTCACCTTAATACCTTCATCAGTTCGTCCAATGAGATCACTCCAATAGGCACGTGGTAACGGTGGCAAAAATAGAAGGACGCCCTTTGTTTATTGGCTACACGAGATACCAATGATTGAAATTGGGATGGATACGCGTGAAGGTAGACGTCACACTCTAAGACAAGGCTTGTGTGCACTTTCTTGCAAAACGTGGAAACAGCCAAGCACGGTGAGCAATAGAAGGGTCCCAGCAAATGATGTAGCTCGAAATCCTTCCTTTTCTGCGTATGGTAGTTCAACAGATTCTGGAGCAAAGGCAGAAAATTGGGCAAGTTTTGGTAAACGTTGTACAGTCTCCAACATTCTGCTAAGGCAGTTTACGCGGTCGTGCAAAACTAGCGTTGGCCTTATGCACTTTATTTTTAGAATGAGCAAAGAGAAAAGGGTAATTTATTCCCTCTCTCCGAGCAAAGTGGGCCTGGCTAAAGTAAATCCTTCAGAATTGCCCGAGATTGCATCGTTGAACGGGTCGTTCATATTCTTGTAGGTTGTGCATGATGGGGACGAACCGCTTATAGAACGCGGACGAAGACGCAAATATGACAGAACACTGCTGCACTTGTAGCTGAAATTTAATAACCGGTAAGGCAGAAAAAAAAGGTTAGTCAGATAAAAAAAAAAAAAAGATATATACAGATTCGCTAAAAAGGCACCGCGTTATTTTCTTAGCTTTTCATCCCCATCGTGGCATGCTCTGTACCGGTCTTTGTTAGCACGATTAGGCTATCGTCACTGAAAGGGTGAGAACGGCAGGGAGGAGTTTCAGTTGTCCCGCCTCCAGGGCGACTTTCCTACCTTCGACAACTCTTCGGCGTCTCGTTCACCTCAAGCGCGCGTGCGCAAGCAAAGCACGGCGGAAGGCATGGAGCGCGTTGGAGGCCTAGGTTTTGAAAGAGACGCCCTGTCCTTCTCACTCTGTCAGCGACTATAGTGTAAATTTTTAGAGAGCAGGTGGCGTTCAGGGTTCTTCACGGAAAATTATACTGCTGGATGTCATAAAAGTGTTTTCGAAAACGCGTATAACTCCGAGTCAGGCGTCGAGACAGACGGTTTTCACCAAGGTCTCAGTCGCGCGGTAAGGCTCCACGTTCGCTCCCGGCCTCCTGTCTTCCAAGTAGCCTTTTCCGGCTTCGGCCACCAGACGTGGAACGCGAATACTGCCCAGGCGCGAACATTTGTCGGCTGTGAAGTCTTCGCTAGGAGTTGCTAGCATGCCGGCATTCAGACGTCGGCTGTTGGATTTTCCCTTCTGAGGATCGTAGTTGGTCAGGTGCAGTTCAGATTTTACCTCCAGCTTCTTAAAAGCCTTCAGGATGTACCTGCAAGGATGCCGAGGCGGCGAAGTCAAGATGCGATCATCATTCGAATTAGCATTCTGACTTAATAACTCCATTCAGATTGTCGTACAGAGTTTCAGTGATAGTATATCAGAAAAAGCCTCGCCGACAGGGAACACAGAACCAGAGGTAATAGACTAGTGGTTCAGAAATCGTGAACAGCTCCTGTCAAGAGTTTTCTGCTCCAAGTGTACAGGCTCATAAAGTTCTTTCCTTGCAGAATTACCCGCGCCAAAAAGGCACTAGCTCCGCTCCAGACAGATCTCTAATGTCTAAGGTCAGCACGAATTGCGGTGTCTTCTATAGAATTTCCGCCTTCATGCAAACCAAACTTTCCTGCTGCTGATGGCAGTATAAACCGATGAACATACATCACAACACATCCAGCCACGAGGGCAACATGCATTATTACATCTAAATCATCTACTGGAACCAAGCTCAAATCTGTCCTTTATACTGCCGGAAGTTCCTCTTTTTTATTTCTAGAGAACCTACACAATCTCACAATCTTAGGAACTCCTTCGCGCAAGTTCTCAAGAACCCCTTCGCCACAACCGTCCGACGAGCAGTTACCCAGTCGTTCTCGAAGTTGATTTCGACGAAGACTACCCGATCACAGTTCAAGTTATGCTGTCAACGGTCAAGAAACACAAGAATAATAAAAAAAAAATATTTGCTCACTCGAGGCCACCGTCGTCGCGCATCTGCCTGGTGCTGAAGTTAATGTGTCCTCCGGAGCCGCACAGCTCATTGCTCTGGAAAGGCTTGGGATCGAGCGACACGATCACGCCGAACTCCTCGGCCACTCTGTGGAGGATGTAACGGGAGATCCAGAGATGATCGGCAGCCTGGACTCCTGGTAGAGGTCCTACCTGGTACTCCCACTGTAACCGCGTGGGCGCAGGCCAGAATACAAAACAAAAACGAAACGAATAAGAACCAAGTGTAATGGCACACGAAGGCCACGAAAGTGCCAACGGGAACATCCTTCCGAGTCCTTATGAAACAATAGAACTGTTCGCTATGTCCAAACACTGCCAAAGACTGCATCATACTGGCAGTCTGTAGACATTGTTTGAGGCGTATTTCTTCCATGTATGGCAGTCCTGTCGAATTGGTCTTTCAGACCAATTCGACAGGACTGCCAGGTGGTGACAGGTGGTGACTTGCCAGGTGGTGACTTGCGCCACCTGGCAAGCAAGTTCCATCTTCCGCCTAAACAAGGCCTAGCGCTAATTTTAAGGAGTTACATCCTCTCTGCTATTTGTATTCATCACCCTATAATTTGGCTTGGGATAGACGCTGCACTCCCAATTTGGGAGTGAGCGCCATCTTCCAAAAACGCTTTTTGCGCTTGTCACTGGAGTTCGCTTTTATTAAAAAGAAATCCGGACGATGGCGCAAATAATTTTAAATAATAAAGCAAACTATGAAAATGTTAGAGGAAGTGCGGTTAAAATCAAAGAATGAACAGGAGTTTCGACCGCCGAATTGGCTTATAGTAATATATTACTATAAGTGTTAGTATTAGGGATAATATGTTTTCGATAATAATTTGCCTAGGTGGCGCAGATCATATGCTGCGGTTATACCTTAACAGTCTGACCGCGGTTTTGGGGGAACGCAGTATAGTGAATGATAATAAAATAAAAACCCCACGTAAGCGATTTGGCGAGCGACGAGACACGCGACGGCGACGAGGACCCGTTTTCGCTCTGTCATCGCGCGAAGAGGCAGTCCGCATGAAAGCGACCGGAGCAAGCGACCAAGGCGATGAGCGACGTTTTCCAGAAGTCTAAAGGCCCGTTCACACTTGCGACAGTCGCTAGAGCGACCAGCGACTAGCGACTACTTTTTGGTCGCGGAGCGACCAAAACGCGTAGCTACCGACCGCTTTTGGGCAGTCGCTCCCTGACCGATTTCTCAAGTCGCAAAAGCGAGTCGCGGGACGGCCGAGCCAATCACAGCCTCGCCGGAAGTGATGCGTGCGTTTGTTTACATCCGGCACTGCTTCCCGCGGGAAATAGCGACGCGCGTTAGCTGGTATGGAGTTCTGCGCCGAGGCTCTAATCAATGCTGTGAAAGACTATGCATTTCTTTACGATAAGCGGCACCCCGACCACAAAGATCGGGACAAAAAGCTGCAGGCCTGGACCGAGATCGGCAGCATTTTCGGCATGGCAGGTACGTACAATATCACGGTCGAGGGCGCGCACATATAGCCGTTGTTTTACGTTCCGAAGAAGCATTAAGTTTTTTTGTATTTTCCTGCCGGCGCCTTTAATCAGAAAAAAACTTTCAGCCGGCTCGGGAAGGTGTTGATTATTCTCCGTTAAGTTCGCACCGTACTTTTTTCTTTTTGTCTTTAAACAACAGGAGCAAAAGAATTTCGTCCGCGGTAACATAGTGAGCATTCCTTTATTTTCCAGGGCTAGAATGCCAAAAAAAGTTCAAGAATCTGAAGGATGTGTACTACAGGACAAAAGCGGCGGTTAAAGGAAAGTCCAAGAGTGGCGCTGGGCTTGCGGATATCCCGACTGTGAAGTGGGCACACTTTGAAGAGATGGCAGGGATCGTCGAGCCATTCTCGCAGTCTGCCGTGTAAGTTGTAGTTTAAACCAGGCATGATTGCTGCTTCATGAAGGAGCACACAACGTTTACATGTACCTACTCCGAAATTTTATGGCTGTGTTTTTCAGATGTGTATTCAGCCAAAAATACCTGCCATGTTAAACATCAGTATAGTTATGGGTTCTTGTGTACTTGCCACTACCTAACTACACACATTTCCTACAGGGTGTACTGCAGCCTACAACATGAAGAAAAAAGCTCAAGGTAAGCAGCATTCTAACCTATCTCTGTGGTTGTAAAAGCCAACTTCGCTTCTGGGCAGCCAAAAAACACAAACTATAACAAACTTTATTTTACAATGCTGCAACACAAGTATATTATGTTGCGAGTTAAGAACAGCAGGAGAGTAGAGAGGAGGAAATCGCCTCTCCCCATGATTGGTAGTTTCCTCTTTTCCACTCCCCTCCTCCAGCATCCGCTCTGCAAACGTGGGGAGAGAGGGGAGGCAGTTCCGCTATGCTTCCTCTGCTGCAGACTATAAAAGCTGATGCCATCCAGCAAGCCCATTTAGTATACAAAAATATCAGAGAGCAAGGATAAATCATATAAGAAAAGGACTATTCAAATTTTAAAACATTTCAAGAAACTCTGACATTAGAAGTGAAACATTCATTAAATTACAGCTCCACAAGCACGAGTGAACAGCCATCGCCGCAAGCACAGGAGACGGGTCCCTCAACCGCCTCAAGTTCAGTTGTTGGCTGTGGCTTGGAGGAGTCACCTGCACATGAGTAAATGAAAATTCACACTGACAGGATGTGCACTGCTTTTCTGAACTGAAAACGTTGATGTGCACACACGCTTTACGCATTTAGTGACATTACGCATGTAGTAAGGTGTTTGAAGCGTTGTAAAAAGTATTACATCAAAATATATCACAAAAAGTGTTGTATGGGAAGAAATCAGCTAGCTACTGTCGTCCTTAGGTCGAAAAGTGATATTTTAATCTAAAGACAGGTGTATTAGCTGTGCCCTAAAAACGCAATTCTTGTAGGTCCTTCATGAATGCAGAGCCCATATCACCAGAGGAAGGGCTACCTGCTGAAAGGTAGGACTGCGTTCCTTCTACCAGTTAACCAGGCTGAAGCATACGTTTCTAAAAGAAGTGTTTCCTCGTATAACAAGCAATTATTTGTTCTTTTTTTCAGGCCGCAGACAACACAGAAACGACAGAAGAGGCGCAGATCATCACAGTATATACATTTTCTGCTTTTAGTACAACTTACATTCCGCAGCCGTTCTATGCAACAAAGCGAAATACGTGTAACAATTTAAATGCATTAAATTGAAGAGTTGTTGCTTCCAGTACTGTACTGAAAAATGAAATATTTCCTTTTGCAGGGATGCAGGAGAAGGCCGCAGCCACGAGTTGGTGGAGGCCTGTGTCGGCCACCTTGGTGCATTAAGAGCGCTGAGGAGTGAATCAAAGAGAGATGAAATATATCATTTCTCCATGCGACTAGACTGCCGCCTCAGGGCCATTCCAAAAGATAGATCCCAAAGTATCATGAACAGTTTTGACAACATGCTATATCACGAAGAGCAGGAGTGCAGGGATCTGGGGCTGACCGATGTTCTATAAATCACAGTATTGGTAGGCGTAGTGGAAATTTATTGAAAGAATTTTGGAACTTATTTTACACTATGGGGCACATCTCGGCCAAATATTTTGAGTCCCACAGCAGAACAGGGTTGTAAAGTGGACCTAGGTACAAGCAACTATGTCGGTAGATACCTTGTTTATGTAAGCCACAAACCTAAGAAGTATTATTTATTTGTGTCTCTTGGTTGCAATTCCAGTAGTTTGTCGCTATGACAAGGAAGTAAAACATTGCTCAAATGACCACAAACATATTGCAAAGACAATGTTGTTTAATTGTCATGCTGTGATTTTACCTCAGGGTTTCTTTATATCAGTGTTTCCCAAACTGGGTTTGATTGACAAAAGGCGAGGGGTGGGGGGGTCGTGGCACGCTTGAGTTGCGGAGTAGGAGCGTTTCGGAAACACTGCTTTATAGCTATGTTCCCTGCTGTCTTATCTTAGTGCAATATCATGGCAATTTCCATTTCCAAGGAGGCGATTTGTTGGCACAGAGGTTTGGTTCAACAGTAACAGTACAATTTTTACACTTTTTAGCAAATAGTCAAGAACGTGCAATTAACCATATTTCAATTATCTATTTTATTTATTCAAGAAATAGGGTCCTTGTTATCTGTCGTGCACAAAGAAATGAGGATGAGATAAACATTACCTTTGTTCAATAAAAGCATTGCAAATGTCGGCATACCTTTGTTTACTGCGGGCGACAAGCAATCCTGTCGTCCTGCCAGGGGACTGCACCAGCTGTCACAAAGTGATGCGCTAACTTGGTGCGCACAGTGCGAGCATACCTTTAAGAAAACATATTAAAAGCATCCATATTACTCCTTTGTTTCGTTTCCCCGAGCGTAGTCTGCTCATATGCTAAAAGATATGAACATTTATAAGTGATTCTGTTAACAGCCTGTATTTCTGCATCGAGGGTGTATCTGTGATTATAGTGATGACCAAAAAGAAAGTCTAAACTTCTCTTTTAACATAACGGTGATGACAGGACCATCAACACGATCGAGGGCTTGAAGCATAGGAGTGCCGTTGCCTGCAACTGCATTGCTATGCTTCAATCCCTGGACATAGACATGTTTAGGTGGCAGGTGTCTGCTTCGAATAGGCTGCTACTTGTAGCCAGCTGCCTTCGAAGAATTGAGCTAATGCCCCGTGCACCACCAATGCAGCTGGGCTATCTGCTACATGCACTCTTGCACACGAGGTATCTCGGAACAATGCCGATTCGCCTCAAATGGCACCTCTATGTTTGAAAAATTTTAGACAGTAATCGGAAGACCATTTCGCTGATCTCGTCCCTATTCATGACATTCACTTTCAAACGCACAGCAGCGTGGGCCTCTACGATAAGGGCTGTTGCCTCTCTACAGTGTTGCGGCTCTCCCGAGTCAATAAGCGTCACTATCATTATTTGCCTGTTCCTCTGATACCAATATACTCTTAAAGCAATAAGCTCTATATCATTAACTCCCCAGTCTATCATTATCTATAATTGAGATACTATTAGCCACATACTGTTTCGAGTTGTAGCCAGCTGCTGGTGCTGCCACCAGGGCAGAGCTTGCCGGAGGGTCATTCCTCCAGCTCCCAAGCTTCAGCCGCCCCTGCCAGTCTTCAGTGTCCGTTAAGCCTACCGGGCAATATGATGCAGCAGAGACGGTAGACTCCTTCAGCAGATAATTATGCAGAGCTACACACGCACCAATGATCCTATTCACATTTTCGTCATTTGCCTTGAATGGTCGTCGCAGGATTCTCCACTTCTGGGCTAAAATGCCAAAGCTATTTTCAACCACTCTGCGGGCCCTGCTTAGGCGGTAGTTGAAATTCTTCGTTCGTGCAGCTCGGCCTTCTGCAAGGCTTCAGCCTCGGGGTCTGGGTTTGGGTCTGAAGGAGGCTGCAGACCTGCATAAACATGAGTAGTGCAAAATCATCGACCATAGGTACTCAAAATTTTCGATTTTGAGAAAGGCATAATTGATTGATAGGCAAGCAATGCTTCACACCCTATGCGTTGAGGCAGCAAAGTGTTGCAGGAGCCTACATACGTTGTAAACGACAATAAAACACCAAAACGGGCTTGAGTTGAGCTAGCTGGTACGTGAAAAATAGAAAAGCGGTATGTATGTCCTTTCGTAATCTTAAACGTTAAACTGGCCCTTTCCATTTAACAATAAAACTACAGCACCATCTGCATCACATGGTTAAGCACGAAATGGATGGCTCCGACTGAGGGGTGGGGACATCCAAAGGAGTACAAAAGCTCAAGGAGCCCCTGAGGGCACTTCAGGAATGTCAGAGTTCCTAGTTAGCTCGTTTGAGAATCGAGATCGTGGACAATTCCGCTTTTGGCTTCTGGATGGCACCATTACGTTTCGTTTAAGTGCGGCCTACACACGCCTGGGTATTTCACTAGGTTCCATGAGGTGAAGGAAGGAGACGCACACCCGAGAGTCATTAGCAAGGTGGAGCAGTAGTACAGTGAGCTGTATTAAACATGACGCTTGCAAGATGTAATGCACCCACCTTTCCTTGGAAAAGGCCTCATCATGTAGGTTTTCAAGGGAAAGGCCTCGTCACCGACAAAAAAAAAAGGAAGCGGCCCCTCCCTCCCGACGTCCTGTTCTTGGGGTGTGCCCATTTGTTCAAGCTGCAGCTGTTCTTGGAGGGTGCATCTTGAAAAAATACCACCGTCGCTCTCACTCCCATGGTGGCCCAGTTCCACGTAGAGAAACCTAAATAACAGACAAAAGGAAGAGTTGCATGCTTCTATTATGCTGTGATGTGGGTCATGTTACTATGCTTCACCCCATAATCCCTGCAAACTGCATATGACCGACACACATGCAGCCTTGCTTGTGTCTTTTTTTTAAACCCCACAATAGGAGCTTAAAAGTCCCTGCATAATCCATATCTGCTGTAGATAGTTCGCACACCATAAAATATCAACTTTTAAACCTGTTCAGCGTGCGGACGGAGAATATGATATTTGTCATGCTGAAAAAGCCATCTAAAGTTGTCATACGAGAGACACACTTACCTATACCGCGCGTCACTGACAGCGAGCAGTGACTTGCTGAAGCCACCTTTATAGTTCCTGTCAAGGCTCCCAGAGTTATTGGGACACTCTATGGAAACGTGCTTCCCATCGATGGCCCCGAGGCAATGAGGGAAGTTCCACCTCTCCTCGAACTCAGCTGCAACCTGTATTAGGAGATATCGAACAATGTTCTTTTTCAACATATGAATAAAGAATTGTAAGCTCTCCTAGTTTTACCATTTTTTCCCTCATGATACAAGGATAAATAATTTTTCAAATGGTTAAAAGTGCAACACATATACTCTCTTCTACCTTCAGTCAGAACGCAATGGATGGAGTGTTGGGAGAGCATCACGTGACTGTCCAGTTACGCAGAGCGACACGCGGAGCTCAAGGCCACATGATACTCCCTCAGCGCTGGGTTGGCTAGGATATCTCCTAGCATCCAATGCGCTTGGACCGAAGATGAAACGAAGTATAGCATGATCACAAAAAGTGTTTCGCCCATATGCTTTCAGCTTCAAAATTACCAAGTACAAGGGGGTAAGGTATGCTACATACATCCTGGTGGTCTACTGAACAATGGCAGTTATCGTCAAACGCATGATGACAACTGCGAAAAGATGGCGGTGCCCAGTGCATGCTTATGTCATTATTGTCACATTTGATCAGGTCGTGCAACGAGTAGTCAGGAAACTCAGGATAGCATACAATATGGCTACAGCCCGGGGCAGGGTGGGTAAGTGGGTGGGTGGGGTGGGGGGAGCACGGAGCATTTCAGACTGTGAACAGGATTTTTAAGCCCCTCCATCTCGTCGGTTTCAGTGCATCTTGCCTCTTTTGCTACAGCTTATTTGCACTTGGTGCCAGTTCGATTACATCTGGGCATGTAATAATGATAATGAATAAAGCATGCTCTCTGCATTTTAAAAGAGTACTCTCACTGCATGTTCTCTCTTGTATTAGTTCAACTTCCTCCCTCTGTGCAAGTTACTGGTATCCCCCAGTCGTTGCATGGTCTCCTTTAAGCATCTTTGTTGCGGTTACTGCTTTCAAATTAGTGATTGCAGCAGGACGCCTTAGCATACCCTAAGCCATTCGTCGGCGGTCTGCGGGCAGATCAGATAGAGGGGCCTCAAGATGTCCCACAAAGCTGCGCAGACGTCGGAGACCACGGAGCAAGCAGTGGACCTTCCAACCAGGAAGTCGTAGGACAGGGTCCTCAACGAATGGCCTGCTGCTAGAAACCTGCCAAAGCAAAGAAATAATGCAACACTTGGAACAAAAAATTGTAACTGCAGTTAAAGCACAGTAATAGGAGCCAGCGGACGACCGATTATTACCAGATAAAAACCTTTGTTCGAGGCACATGCAGTTGTATCAGTGCAAGAAATGCAATCACAAAAGTACATGATATGCCGTCCTGTGCCCAGCCCACGGCGATTTCTCAGGGGATCACAGAACCCCCTGATTTTGACGGGGGGTCTGAAAACCCTTTGGGTAGTAGACCCAACCGTAGCACACCTAGCGGGTAAGTTGAGAGCTAAACCCATGGGTACAACATTAATTATATGGGCGTGTTCCTGATGCAGCGTTCGGCTGTGTCAGTGTCACGAAATTCGATGGTCTTTTCTTTCTTTAGTTTGTTATGGCTCGCAAATGGGTTCAGTTCTCGCTCGCTCAATGAATCGAGCCAATGCCTGAATAGTACGGCGAGAGAAGGTTTCCTCCACACAACCAGATGTTTTTCTCAGTTCCTGGGCCTATGTTGTGGGGTCGCATTGCGCTCAAGCTTGGTTGCCCGAGCTCTGCGACTACAAACCGTCACTTTGGGAAGGTCGTGGAAGGACCGTGGCGGTGGTTTATTCTTTCGGGGAAAGGGGAGGGGGGGGGGGGTGATTTCGGTTTCTGGTGAAATGTTCAGGGGCTACATAAACGGCTATTTTTCTGTTTTTTTACGTGAGAAGAGAGGGAGTTCCGGGGCGGACCAGGGCACCGCTTGTTGCCTTCTCCGTTATCTCTCTTCGCGAGTTTTTGGGAATCTTTTAATTGTTTTAGGGCTTGTACTATTTCAGCATGTTGTTGGCTTTTAAACATTTAGAAAGAGGAGGCACATAGGGCAGACACAGAGGGAACAATCATTTTATTTCAACCATATTTATTTTCGATTTCAAGCACGGTGCCCAACCACTCCGTGGGAAGAAGGAAAGGGGAAACGCTTGGGGGGAACGAGTGGGAAGGGGAGGCGAGAGGAATGCAAGGTGAATTGCAAGGAGGTTTTAAGAGGGAGGGAGGGACAGTCGACTCGTCTCAGGACAGTCGAGCACTTTGCTTCATTTCTTAGTTTGCGTACTAGCGAGCTCTGGTTCCCGGCTGCATGTTGCGCCTCGAGCGGCGTTTTGTTTCCCAGGTTTAGTTTTGAGGATTTCGTTTTGTTTCTTCGCAACCGCACTGCCCAAAGTTTCAAGATTTTTTTTTTTTTTTCGTCCTCCTGTTTGGTTGATAGTGGTCCGTTGGTAGAACTTTCCTCCTGTTTGGTTGCTAGTGGTCCGTTAGTAGAACTTTATTTTTATGACTATTATATTTCTTTGTTTTTGTTTCCTTCTCTTCGTGTTGTTGCCTTTCTGCTGACTTTATACCGGGCGTGGACCTTTTGCTTGTCACCGTTCCGAACTTAGCATTTTAATTTTCAAATTCTGTTAATTAATTTCTCGATTTACATCCATGTTTGAATTTGAATTTTATTAATTTTCTCGTGACAGTCAGCCAAACGCTCGCTATGTCAGCGTTTGGATGCCTGTGCACGTTATTAAAGGCAACCTGCTTATCAAAATATGGCCCACTACCCTACCTACCCACCTATCCCCCCCCTTGCCACCGGGGGGAGACTTTAAGCCCTGCGCACATTTCTGCTGGCGTTTATTTGTTCATAATGTTGTATGCTACTGTGCACCTGTGGCACACCAGGCACAGCTCGTAATACCTCTCCGTCCTCACATACCCTTCATGTGACTTCACCCTTTCTGTAACGATACCTCACCTCAACGTCATGGCCAGACGAGCAGAGGGGTCAATTGCCTTCCTGTAGCGGGTGTTCTTCTTGCTGATCCTGTCAGCCAACAGCTCTAGCAGAGTGTCGAAGGTCCGCGGCGGCATTCTGATGAAGCTAAGATGAAATATCCATTTGATCATCTGATAGGCACGTAATTGAATCTAAAGAGCATAACTCACTCTCTGTAGTAATCCAGATCGCGCGCTCGAAGCTCAGGAAGGAGGCGGCTCGCGTGGCCGGCGACTTCGCGAGAGCGCAAACACGGGCGCACCCACCATCGCCGCTTTTTTCCAGTCGGTATCCCTCTCGTCAGCGCAGACAGCGCTACAGACGACAGGATGGCTACAACCTCTTCCTCTTCACTCAATCCGTCAAAGAGATCCATTACATTAAACGCCAACCGGTCAACCTTTCGGTTTATCTTTAAAGGGAACCAAAAGCGACGGCTGGGGGAAAACGAAAACAAACGGGCGGGAAGACGACGACGGACGACGGCTCCCGTGGAACCTCATACAGAACGAGAGCGTCCGAGAAGCGAGCCTGGCGACTCGTCGGTCGCTCAATCAGGTGTGAACACTGGTGGTCGCCAGTCGCTTGTCGCTAGTCGCTCCAGCGACTGTCCCAAGTCGCAAGTGTGAACGGGCCTTAAAAACCGAGCGGCGCGACGAGCGACCTCCGTCGCTCGTCGCCGACTGTCGTCGCTTGTCGCCGTCGCTCGTCTCGTCGCTCGCTAAGTCCCTTACACGCGGTTCAGCCTTAAGGCAAGAAAACAAAACAAAGGTCAATGATGTAATTTTTTCTAAAAAAAAAGAACTCTCAATTTCAGCCGTCACCTGAGATAAGACGACTTCTGCATTGGTGCCAGAAATTTTGACGCCAGCGTAAGCGCAGGCCTTGAGGTGGGCGTCCGAGATTTGCCTTCCAACCACGTTGCCGACGCCAACCCCAAAGAAGTACGGTCCTATAAAACATTAAAAGAAACAATATGTCAGAATTTACAGACACAAAAAAAGGCCGTCACAGCATCTGATCCTAGCCCTTTCAAACACTATGTACAGTACATCTAAAACTCTTTCTTTATTTTTTTTTTTTGTAAAAAGGGGGGGGGGGGGCGATATTGTATATATTGAGTCATTTTAACAATTTTAGCGGAATTTTATACTCTGTCTGGCAGACTTTGACGCAGTTCAACTACTCTACTCAAACTACTGTAGTTTAACTACTTTTCCGAGTAACTTGGTAACTTTCAATTACAACTTTATTTGGGTAATTAGTAGTTTAATTTAACTATACATTTTTCAGGTAACTCCTGGTCAAATTACTAACTACTTCTGAAATTTAGTGCTAATTTTGCTCATCACTAAAGTTTGAGCGCAGAAATAAATAAGGCGCCGGCAGAAGAAGTGGCATTCCCAAACAAGGGGCCCCCTCACATTCCGTTCCCACACACTTATACTCGGCAGCCGTAGAAACCGCATAGCAGGCGTATTTGGGCCAAGGTAACGACGAGCAGCCAAAACATAACACCGGTGCGCACGAACGTAGGAAGAGGTGCTTAACAAGTCTTGGTCGGGTATTGACCTAATCCGCACCTCCGGCTCCAACCGTGAAAGACGGGTTGTTGTTTTCATGTTGTCTGCCTTTAAGGCCCTGTCACACTGAGGCAACAGTTGGACAACTCTATCCGGCAACAGGAGGAAATTGTGTTTGCCGGCGACCCTGTCACATCGCGGCAACAACAACAGTAGGGCAACATGTTGCTGCCGCCCGGCAACCGTGTTGTCCGACAACCCTGTCACACCGCGCTGACGGCGGGGACAACACAGGGAACGCTCCGCCATCTTGATTGTTTAGCTTCGTTCGTGTGCGGCGCGGAGTCGCTGGAAATGTGACTACAAAGTGCTAGTGCGTTCGAAGGGCCGGAAATTACCACGGTACGACATCAACCAGTGACCGCCCATGACAAAATGTTTTGTGAGGGAGAGGGGGGAGAAGAGGTCCCAGCAAAATTGAAGATTTCGGGGGGGGGGGGGGGGGGGGGAGGGGGCCGGGCCCCCCTGGCTACGTGCCTGATTTCGTTGCACGTTGCTTCAAAACGTAAGACGTAAAAATCTTCAAACAAATGTACGGGTATACCTTTGAGTCAAATGTTTTTCTCTTCCGTGGTGGTCTCTGTTTTCTTTTCTACCTGTGCTCCTCATATTTTATACCTGCCCCCCCCTCCCGCCTACTTTAAGAAAACAAATAATGCCCGCGTATTTCTATTGCTGCTAGCCTTCTAGGGGATCTTGCCATCTATAGAACTGGTAATTTTTATTGACCAAACCTTAACAATTTATCGACCAAACCTTAACAAAGCAATATGCCATCAAAAACGAGCTTCTACGTTACTTTCATCCCGGGTAATTCGAAGGTACGGGAGTGTGGCGCATACGAAACAGTGGCGAATTTCAGTTAGCCCCGAGTCGCGGTCGCTCTGCTCGTACCAAAGACACGGTGTTTGCTGCTGACACGATGGCAGACTTATCTATACGGGCACGCCCGAGGCATGTAAGTTTGTGTATGACCAATGTGACAGAAACACCACACGAGGAAGGATGGATGGATGGACGGTAATGGCCATTTACCCTTTGTAACAGGCGGTAGCTTGCGCCACCTAGCGTTAAACAGTGTCGGCAGACTGCCTTTTGTATGACGCGTTAAAAGTACGACCGCAGGGCCTAAATGTTATCTGCTGGGCTGTGGAGCGCCTTCTGAGCATGTACTGTTGCTCTGTTTGTGCAGTATGCCAGACGCTGCACATGCGTCGGCAGCTCAGCGACTCAGCATTTTTCGCCCGGGTGATAAGCGATGCAAATGTCTATACTTTTACAGTTATCGTGAACTGATATGACTTGAGCCCGCACAGTGAAATCTTTCCTTTCTTTTGTTACGATTAAAGGGGATATCATTTTCATCTACCACTTACCCAAGGGTCTGATAACGTTGTTGTCTTTGGGCCAACCTAACGGAATCTTATCTGTGTCGAGAAGCACGTACTCCTGCTCGATGCCAAACCACGGATCTTGGTTGGCAGCCTCCTTCATGGTTTTCTCGCACGACCAACGGGTGTTCGTTTCTAGAAAAAAAAAGTATAGTTAAGCACTGTGGCGCCCGGGAATACGTAACTGTCGCAAGTTCACCAAAGGCCAACCTATATCGCGTGTTGTGATCTTGCCGCAACGCGAGCTTAGCAAGGATGGAGTGCCACACAATATTAGAACTTTAAGCCCGTTCATAAAAACAGCGTGTCTCCCCCCCCCCCTCCCTCCCCCTCCCTCCTCCCACAAAAAAAATTAAATTTGTTTTTGTTTTTTTTTATTATAAAAATAAAGTAGGCATCAGCAAACGCTCACTAGAACATCAAAATGTAGCGAAAATCGCCTATAACTTTTGAATGAGATAACGATTTGTTCTAAAACTTTGGCATCTGGTCCAGAGAGCCCAGCATTAGGTCGGAGGCTGAGTGTTCGGCATGTGCAGTTATTTTTCCGAAAAAAAAAAAAAAGAAAACACTGTAAAATGTTTTCGGGGGCACCCTCCTGAAAAGACAAAAAATATAAAGTGACCACACGAGTGTTTCTGGTCTCACTTTTTCTCACTACTCTTATGATTACGATTACTTGACGGTGATGTTTTACTTTCAGGCAATTTGTGTTCGCTGTCCCATCAATTTTAAGGCAAAAAAAAAAACGCTGCCCTTGAAGTTTTTCTACGAAACCTTTAAATACATTACAAAAATTAACACAAACCGCTATTTTTAACGATCAAACTATATGTGTCAAGTCGCGCAGATCATTCAATGAAAATCGAAGAAACATTCTGTGGTCGCACCACCTACAAGATATATTAAATTTATGTTTCGCACAATCACCGAGTGCAGTGCACTGTCCGAGTTTGCAAAGTATTAACATGGGACCGCTACTTTCAGGAAGTGATTCGTAGTTTTAACTGGTTCGTTTTTAATTTGATTTTCTGTTTAATTAACAGCATTTACTGATTTGTTAGGTGTTCATGTTTCACAGACGAGTTCTTTTTCATTATACTAGGCAATATGTGCTTAATTAGGGTTTTGTGTTTTTCGGTAAATATCGATAAACCCCGAAAAATAACCTCCAAGTCAATTTCATAAAAATATCCAAGAAACCGAAAAGAGCTGCCCTTGAGTAAGAAAAGAGTAATCTACGGAAAAAGCAAATTTGTTTACAATTTTGTTTGTATCTTTTTTTTTTTTTTTTTACTTGAAACACATATTTTATTAAACTACCCGCAAGGCTTATTCTTGATTCGGAATAACATAGATCTTATCTTGTTTCATTTTCTTATCGGTACAAGGACGTTTTACAAAATTTTGTTTTATGCGTTTGTTCCCTGAAATTTGGAGAATCTCATTCCCGTGCCGTTTTCTTCAACACAGTCCCCGACGAACCTCAATTTCTCGTCGGACAACAATAATTTATACCGAATTAACACTGAGTCTGTAAAGAAAAAATAAAGAAAAACTGAAAAAAACATTCCGGAATTTATGGAAAATTGACCCAAAAAAACACGGAATCCTATACTCGCATTCACAGCGAGAACCGTAGTAAAAACAAGTTCGGCTCCTAGCGTAACGTTACTCATTTTCTCTTTCTTGTGTCGCACTAAGATATATGTAGGTCAGTGCCGTACCAACTTGCTTTTGAGTGTGTGTGTCGGGGGGGGGGGGGGGGGGCAAACCAGCCCCCCCCCCGCCTCCCAGGACCGGAGGGTGGTGCCATTGGTATCCCTTAGGCGCCGCCGGCCAGTGTTTGCCCTGTCCAGTGTCGGCTTTTTCAGGGGGGGGGGGGGGACGCATGCCTTGCACCCCCCCCCCCCCCCCACACTCTGAGAACTGGGAAGGGGGGGGGCAAGCGCCCCCTTGCCCCCCGGTTGGTACGCCCATGATGTAGGTGCATCTTAGATTAGCTTTACGTCATTTTACCAAGGCGTACACGTTTCAAAAGCCAAAATCAATGCTTCTTTCTTTGACAACCAAATCTTGTAAAAACTACTTCGCGCAGCGCATAAAAAAATGCGCAAAACAGCCTTAGCCTTTTAAAGTGAGGACGACTATAGCTATACGTTCACGCTGTAGGCATTCACGGCAGCGCCATTGGGGAATTGTAGTAGACCGTTTCCGCAGCCCGCTAAGCTCCCGGATAGCGCTCCGTAATCCTCCACAAGACATTGAACTATGCAGATAAGGCTGGCGGCGCGCATGCGCAGCTGCGGCGTTTTTTTCGGGGATACCGTAGCGGAGGAGAAAAACGGTCTACTACAATTTCCTATTAACGCATACGTTCACGGCGCTACGGGTTGTTTTAACGTAAAACGTTCTTCGGCTAAATGTTCGGCATCATCGTGAAGCCCATATAAAATCGTGGCATCGAGGCCCGACAATGATTGGTTGACGAGTGGGAAAGAGGAGTGAGGGGTTCGACGCCGATTGGTTAACGGGGAGGTCATGTGACCATAGGGGTAGGCAAGGAGGAGGAGTGAGGTAAGCGAGAAGGAGCTCGACCACCTGTGCGCACTAAGGGAAAGGAGTTTGAAGAGTATATGGAAAGCTCTGGAAGATAGCCAGGTTTATCAGCTTGATTAGCGGTAGTACCGCTTCATTCTAGGAACAGCTATCAAGTGTACACTGTACGCGTTAAACTAACTGATGAAGAGTGCCGTGAACGTAGGCGCCTGGCGTCTGAAACTCTGAGTATCGCTAAGCGTTTGAAGTGGTAGAACGTTTCACGTATGAAACACAATTTCTTAGTAATTCGACATATTTTGTTTTTGTAAATAAAGTACTATTAATAAACGATAGGAGTGTTTTCGAATCTTTGCCGTTTCTGTCGTATTTTAGGACTCTGCCATTCTTTGTGACCTTGGAGGCGACGAATAGCTTGCAAAGCCTTTTCAGTCCAGTTTGGCCAAGCGGTGCTTTGCTTACCAGGGGGTCTTCGGTCATGCAGGAGGGTCTCGCAGAGTACCAGTTTATTCCGACCTTTCAAAAATGGATCTCTGAACAGGGCCACGGGAACCAGAAACATTTCGGACTTGGCGCTGGCGTCCGCCCATTGGTACGTTCCTAGCCCGCAGTACGTCCACTCGGGACAATCTGCCGCGATGAAGAAAAAGTTTGTCAGTTGAAATATTTTCTGGCAAATCTTTTTTTCCAGCGTGTTCAGAGTGTGAAACACACTCTCAACATGTGCTGTAGCTCTCTCTTGTGGATATTAGACGCCGAGCATTCGTGCACAGCGCAATGACTCAGCATTTTCGGCCTGGATAGTAAGCGTTAAAGAGGTGGCTTAAAGTTTCCGAAAAAAAAAAAGAACCGGGTTTTTCGGCCCAGATAATAACTAAATTGTATATCGCAGCAAGCCTTAACCCCGTGCTAATGCGAAGCTAGTGGTTGGGATAGAACGCCAAAGTTTTAGAACATGACGTTGCATGGAGAAAAAAATAATTGAGAAAAACGAAATTTAATTATGAGCCGACGTCCACCTAAGCCTAATATCGTCAAAACAAGAAATAATATTGCCAACGCTTGCGAGATTTATATCAGTGAAAAACGCTGGTCAACAAGAAAAAGAATAATGTTTTTTTTTTCTTTCTGGCAAGTTTATTTCACTGCAATAGGTGCTACAGGCGCCCACAAAGTTGATTCTTGTTTTGACGACATTAGTCTTATAGGTGGATGTTGGCTCATAGCGAAATTTCGTTTTTCTCGATTATCTTTTCTGATCCAGGTAACGTCATGTTCTCAAACTTTCGCGTTCTATCCCAACCGCTAGCGTCACATTCCCACAAAGTTTGAACTTTCTGCGATGCATAGTTTAGTTACCCGGTCCGCAATACAAGGTTCTCTATTTTCGTTAACTTCTCGTACCTTTCAGCGCTTATCACCCAGGCGAAAAGTGTAGAGTCGACTGGGCTATAGAAACGTAAGCAGCATCTGATATTACGCAGAAGAGAGCAAGTGTGCGTGCTCAAAACGGGCTCCACGGCAAAGCAGGCAAAAGATGGTAGTAGGCAGGAGGCGATTATTGGAAAGGGAAAATGTCCTTCCATGTGCACCAAAAAAGAATGCTATCATTAAAAACGCAAACAGTTCGAGAAGGAGTATGTAGTAATGGTACGACATTATATACCGAAAAAAAAGTGTGCGTGAAAACATATACGTGCTATAGGCCATTATTCGTCACGTGGATTATGAATGGAAGGAAAAAAAAAACGCAAGCAGGCTAATAAGGTAAGTACATTTAAAAAAAATCCAAGACGGAGAAAAAAAAACGGACAACCACTTACAACGTATCAAACTCCGAAAACACGTGGATCATTGCGGAAACTGCCCTCCTTGTACACTAAAATTTACAATTTACTCTTCAACTCGTGAAACTCAGAAATCCCAAAAGTGAGATTTTTTTGCTAGGATTAAGGCGTCTGAATTGGTTCGAACAATTATATTCCGCGATATGTTCAAGCTCCCTGCTTGGAGCGTACCTTTAGCGGTCTTGGGTTCGAAGTCCAGCGTTCTCGTCTTGGCCCGGACATTTTCCAAGGTTCCATCCACGAAGACGTAAGTGACAAAGACCACGTCATCGGGCTGTTCCAGATCCAGGTACTTCCTCAGGATCTCGGGTTTTGCAGAAGCCATCCGTCCGCGCTCCTCTTCCTCCGCTACGAAGGGGGACACAATACGTAATCGCTGAAATCCCAACACCGGTGCACAGACTTGGCTGAGAGTAAACTCTCGAGCGAGCGCAACGTCAATAGTGGATAACTGACACAACCCGATAAGGTGATTGTGTTCTGAAGAACTTGGCCTTCTTTCAGACAAGAATATGTGAATGAATGCAGGACGCCTTGAAAAAACGTCACGTACTATCGCGGACAATGCGAGCTGAAGCAGACCTGAACCTTTTGAGTGCCACGCTCGGGAATACTCGGACGCGTTTTATAATTTATTGTATTTAGTTAGTTAGTAATACTACCAGTTCCGTTCGTAACTTTAGTAGAAGAATGCGTTAGTTGGTGGTGCAGTTTAGAAACAAACAGTTGTGCAGGTTTCAGCTTCGAATTGCTTCCTGTCCTAACTGGGTTGTCGATTTTACTTTTACGTACAGAGCAATGTTTTGTATTTTGTGATAACACCCGTTGACGGCATGTGAAAATATTTTTTTTTAAGAAGGACTTGTTTTTGCTTTGCTTCGTCGTTCCAGACAGGCCAATCTATGACGTTCAACCTTACGCTTTATGGAAAGCAATGTTTTCTAAAGATTTGTAATAAAATAATTTCACACTAATCAAAATAAAATAATAAAAAAAAACGCTCCGAGTGAGAGAGAGAGAGAAAAAAACTTTATAAACGACTAATAAGATCCAGAACGTTGGGTTCCTTCTCCCACGGCCGGCGTGGTGCCTCCCCTGCAGAGTGGCCGGTGTTGCGTTCGGGAGGGTGACGACCTCAGGCGCGGAACCAAGAGTCGGGGCTGTGGCTCGCTGCTAGCATGGCCCCGAGGAAACAGGCCTGGAGTGGGAGTACTGAAGTAGAACTTTTATATACAGTGAATATACAAGTAGCATGGTCGAATGGTTAATCGGCAATCGGCAGTCGGCAGTCAGCGACTTCGGGCTCTCTGAGCCCATGCTATATAACCCTCCGAAAGCGAGAAGGTCCGCGGAGCGAGAGGAGCCTTCCCCGCTGTTCGAGTGTTCACGAGGTGTCCGAAGTGCGGGGGCGGCTGATGCAATTTCCAGGTGTTCTTTCAGCGAGGGGCAGATGATGTCATCCCTCGACGTTCTTGCCGCGCTCCGGTGGCTGATGTAAGGAGTCGCCGTTCTTGCTGAAACCCAACACCGACAGACCCACACACACACAGGCACGCACACGCACGCCGGTGTTTTCCTTGCGAAGGCTGGCGGTCCCAGATGGTCTCGTGGCCTCCGGGAGACGTTCTGTTTGCGTTTAGAGTCCTCCTCGAAGGCCCCCACCGGCCCAATGACTCAAGGGCCGATCTCAGGAATCTGAACGTGACTGTCAAGCGCCGTTGGTAACAGTTGAAGGCGAACTCCAGGACAGCGCTAAGGAAGCCAGTCATAACACCGGGCGGACTGGGCCGGGCGGCGACTTGCTCGGCTTTTGTGACCGCAGCGAGTTGGATAACGCAGTTGGAGCTGAGCAGCAGGGTCGTCCACTGAGTGTCTCGTTGTGTCAAGTGTCGTGTGAGGGAAGAGGCGGATCGGCGGGGCAGGACCAGAGTAAATGTTCGATCGTGGCCTTGTTGTGTTCGTCGGCGTCCTTTGTTGGATCGTAGCACTTGGTGCATCGGGCCTTGTATAGGTCCGGGAGATAGTGTCTGAGTGTCGCGGGGTTAGGAAGGGTATTCGTCTGAAGTTGGCGCCATAATACTTGTTGGCGTCTGTTGAGTGACTTATGTGGTGGTGGGTATATCTGGCGCTGTAATTTGTAGTGTTGTGTAATGTCATGGAAACTACGAAGTGGTTCCTTATGCCATGGGAGATCCCTCGGCTCGTTATCAATCGGAACGGCTACGCCGACCGCCCCGCATGTGCCGGCCCGGCGAGTCGCATCTCGGGTCGCGGCGTGGGCCGCCTCGTTACCGCCGACCCCCTCATGAGCCTGAGACCAGATTAATGTGATTGGGTGTGTGATTGGAGGCATGATGGATGACTTGAATGTTAGGAGCTTTGTTGCCGATCGAGAGATGCGACCTGAGCTGAAGCTGAGAATGGCCGTCTTGGAGTCACAAATTATGGTGCGTAACGACTCGGACGCGTGGTTCAGGGCCAGGCCGATTGCAGCTTCCTCCGCTCTGGTGGGGGAATCCTCCTTGACTGAGGCCATCACTACAATGCGCCCCGTCCCATCCACCACGGCCAGGGCATAGCGGTCCAGGTGTTCGCTGTAGTTAGCCGCGTCTACGAAGTATACGTCGGGACGCCCAGCGTACAGCTTGTGAAGGGCCTCCGCTCGGGCTTTGCGGCGTTGAATATGGAAGGTCGGGTTCATGTTCTTGGGTAAGGGTGGGATCCTGAGCCGAGATCTAATTTCGGTTGGTATCGGCACGATTAGAGATGCAGTATTTAGAGATATGCCGAGCCTTTCGAAAACCGCTCGTCCGGTCGCCCGCCAGGCGCAGCATCTGAGCAGAGCCTCAAGCAGCTCGTCTACTGTGTTGTGTAGTCCTAGAGCCATAAGGCGGACAGTTGCTGTTTGGGGGGGCAGGCCCAGTGCCGATTTGTACGCCGACCGGAGAAGCAGATCGCATTTGTCCCTGTCGGTCTTTCGTAATTGTAGATACGGCAAGGAGTAGGGGAAGCGGGACTCCACGAAAGCATTGATGAGTCTCACAATGTCTGCTTCCTTTACTCCTCCGCGCCTGTTGGATATGCGTCTGATGATTCGAACAGTCTGGTGGGTGATCGAGTGAATTTTAGCATTACGTCCGTGTTTGGTTTGAAGCAATGAAAGATTAAGCCTAGTATTCGAATGGTTCTGACCCCCGGTATGAATTGGTCGCCTACCTTCAGGTCCAATCGCTGTACTGAGCCTTCTGTGTCCGTGAGACGTGTGCTCTCGTCCTTGATTAGCTGCTCGGATCTATGCGGAGAGATGTCGAGTCCTAAATTCGCGACATATTCATATGTGACGTCTATGGCTGTCTGAAGCGTCTCGTCCATGTCCGCGTCACTCCCCTTGTTGGTTTACATGATGTCGTCTGCGTAAATAGAGTGACCCAGTCTGGGTATTGAGGCCAGCTTACTCGGGAAGTACACCATGACTATGTTGAAGAGCGTATGGGACGGGACCGCTCCTTGCGGAGTGCCTCTGTCCCCTCTGAATATGTGGTCTGACGTGTGTTCCGCGACCAAAATTTCGATCGTGCGGTTTTCGAGGAACGACTGACTGCACGTACGCGAAAAAGCGTTCGCCCAGTCCCAAATTATTTATGTTGGACAGGACTGCCGTGTGCCGTATGTTGTCAAGGGCTCTGTACAAGTCAAACCCCACCGAAACCCTTTTGTTTCGGCGCGGCATTATTACCTCCAAGAGGACTTGGAGAAGGATGTCCTGCGTCGAGAGGTGTTGGCGGAAGCCAAACATGGAGTCTGGGAACAAGCCCTGATCCTCCATGTAGTCCCGAAGGCAAGGAGGTTAGAAGTACTAGGAGAGGGCACTTTGCAATATTGGTGAAGCCTAGTAATAAAAAGTTTAAACGATGTTGTGGCCAACGTGACCGTAGATCTTTCTGGTTATTGGTGCGCGTGACATGTCACGTGTGAGATGGATGGTTGACTGTAGAAAGACACCTTGCAGGCTTGCGCGCGCTCCGTCCAGTAGGTTTTATCAGATCGAAGGCTGGCCTGTGGTGTATTCTAGTACCCCATAGCTAGACGAAGGCTAGCTACGGTCACGTGATGTGGTCACGTTGGCGTGGTAAGTGAGGAGAGTAAGGAGGAAAATGAGAAAGAGGCGAGGCGTCAAGGGAGCATGGCTTGTGGAGGCTACACGGCTGTCGTCATGCCCTCTCCTAGGCTTCTATCCTCCTTGCGAAGGCGACTCGCTCCGCTCCGCAAACGTATCTCGCGCCTAGAGAGGGACATCGAAACGCACGCGATTGAGCTAGACAATCAACACAGGGCCCGTTTGCTCGAAGCGCTAACCGCGGCTAAATTTAGCCGCAGTACCTAGGAGAGGGATTTTGAGATCACGTGACTGGCTCGGTAGGGATGCGGGGAAACATGGCGGTGCCCCAGTGAGTGAGCACCGCTCGCTTTGGAACTAATATGTCGTTGTAGCTGCAATATCGGGCGCGTTAGTCAGCACCGAATGGTGTAAGAGGCTTTTGCTTTGCCTTACCTCACTTAAACCGCAAAGCATGAGCAATGACAACGCCGCACTTTCTTAGATAGTGTCTCGATTCTGGGCACTCCTAAGCCTAAATGAACGCGATAATTGTCGGCATAGCAACGTCTTTGGAAAGCAGATTGTTGATAGCACACAAAAGCAGACGGCGTCCCAACAGACTTTTTTTTTTTAAATTATCCAAGCACCGAGGTGCATGCTACGACTACACTGTACTACGACTGTAGTTGCACGCGTCACACGTGCTGGCGTCTGCAGTAGTAACCGTTCTAAAGCAAAAAGTATAAAACAAATTTTGCTTTGCACGCGCGTTCGTTAAAGCCTTATTATGATTTTTTACTTCAAACTTTTTATAAGAGGAAGACCAGCGCGTGTGAACCGTAGAATTACACTTCCAGCGTTCTCCTCGCGATGCTTGGATAATTTAGAAAAAAGTCTGTCGGGACGCTGTCTGCTTTTATGTGCTATCAACAATCCGCTTTCCAAAGACGTTGCCATGCCGACAATTATCGCGTTCATTTAGGCTTAGGAATGCCCAGAATCGAAACACTATGTAAAAAAGTGCGGCGATGTCATTGTCCATGCTTTGCGGTTTAAGTGAGGTAAAGCAAAGCGAAAGCCTCCTGCATTATTCGTTGCTGACTAACGCGCCCGATATTGCAGCTACAACGACATATTAGTTCCAAAGCGACCGGAGCTCACTCACTGGGGCACCGCCATGCTTCCCCGCATCCCTACCGAGCCAGTCACGTGATCTCAAAATCCCTCTCCTAGGTACTGCGGCTAACTT